GAGACCGGCGGCTCACGGACCGCGACCGCCGCGCGTTCCTCGAGGCGTCCAAGGTCGTCTGGACGACGTCCACCGTCGACGGCCGGAAGCTCTACGGACCCCGCTACAAGGACATCAACCACCTGACGATCATCCACAACGACCTCGCGGGCAACTCCATCTGCGACTTCATCCACGGCAACACGGGCTACGCCTTCGCGAACGCGCACGCGGCGCTCAACAACATGCGCGAGCCGGCGTCCTGCGGCGATGTTCGAGAGATGTCGACCGGGGAAACGACGGACGATCGTCACCGCCGCGCGTCGCAGGCTCGAGCAGTCGCTCCAGGCCATCGACCCGGCCATCGCTTTGCCCTACTGGGACTACTCCCTCGACTTCTGGGAGCAGGTCGACTCGCGGGACGGCGTCGCGACCTTCTCGAACGAGTCGGACCTCCTCCGGCTCTGGGACTCGGAGATCTGGTCCGCCAAGTACTTCGGGCGCGCGGACGCGGACACGGGCGTCATCGTCGACGGCGCCTGGGCGCGCACGAAGGTGCCCGTGATCTCGGAGGAGCTGCTCAACGCCTCGGGCTTCTCGGGCCACTTCCGCGACCACGGCTTCGCGTCGTGCTACGGCCAGGACGAAGACGTCTGCGAGGCGCCGTGGACCGCGGGCTTCCGCGAGGGCATCGTCCTCAACCCGTCGGGCGCGACGGAGCCGAAAACGGGCACGTCCGAGCGCCACGTCGGCAACTCGTTCGGCCTCCTGCGGTCGCCGTGGAACATGCGCGCGGAGCCGGCCGTCGTCCGGAGCCGCAAGAGCTGCGGGCGGAAGAACGCCCTCCAGTTCCCGGACTGCACGTCGTTCATCAACCAGCAGCACGACTTCGACACCTTCGAAAACTACGTCGTCAACCTCCAGGTGTCGCCGCACGGCGCGGTCCACGTCTGGGCCGGCGGCGCCTTCGGCCGGTGCTCGGAGACCTACGCGGCCCTCCACGACGTCGTCCCCGACGCGGCCCTCGTCGACGCCTTCAAGATCTCCGCCGCGAACATCCAGAAGAGCCTCTGGATGGAGGGCCTCCGCGCGTGCCCCGCGCGCGGCGCGTGCGCGGGCCTCGGCCAGGACGAATGCGCGTGCCACGTGCTCGAGGTCGACGCCATGGCGCGCAACGCGTCGCGGAACGTGAGCGCGTCCTGGACCTGGAACCAGGTCCTCCAGATCGTCTTCAGCACCGTCCACGTGAACCACGAGGTCAACGCGCGCGCCTACCTCAACGCGCTGCCCGACGCCGCGAAGCTGAAGATCCTCAAGGCCGTCTCCGTCGACGTGCTCACGGGCGACATGATCGGCTCGAACTCGCCCTACGACATCGCCTTCTTCGCGACGCACGCGTCCGTGGAGCGCCTCTGGCAGCGCAAGGCCCTCGCGGGGAACATGAGCGACATGGCCTGGCCCCAGCAGGACGGCCGGTCCGGCGCGCCCCTCTGCCCGGGCCAGAAGGCCGGCTACAGACTCGTCTGGTTCGACTACGCGCTCGACGACGACGACGCCGTCTCGTCGGACCTCACGAACGTCGAGTGGCGCGACATGCTCAACCCGGCGAACCCGGCCTACGCGACCCACATCCCCTACGTCTACGAGAACTTCGTCTGGGAGCACTGCATGAACTACATCGCCCTCAACCCGGACCAGGCCGGCGTCATCGACGCGACGCTCATGCGGCCGGACCAGTGGGTCTGGCAGAACACGGAGGACCGGACCGCGCGATAGCCCGGCCGGTCGCCGCCCCGCCTCGCACGCCATCGCCCCGCCTAAGCTTGTTACTCCGCGCGGTGCAGCAGGACCCGCCGCCGGATCTTCGCCGCGAGGCGCGCGCGCCACGTCCGCGGCGCCGCGGGGTGCGGCCGCGTCGCCATGGGCGTCGTGCTCTTCGGGTTCGGCCGCCGCGCGCCGCCGGGGAAGACGCGCCACTTGGCGACGAGGTCCCGCAGGGGCCCGCGCGTGAGCTGCGCGAGCGCGCGGCGCGCGCCCTCGTCGCCCTGGTCCGCGGCCGCGCGGTAGAACCGCGCGGCCTCGAGCTTGTCGACGGCGACGCCGACGCCCGTCTCGTGGGCGACCTACGCGTGCGCGAAGCGTCGACGCGGGCGTCGGGCCGCGCGCGCGCGGACGAGGCGACGACGGGCGGGGATCCCGGATGGACGCGGGAGACGCTGACGCCCATGTTGTACTGCGCCTGCGCGAGCCCCCGCGCGGCCGCGCGCCGGTACCAGCCGACGGCCGCGGCGACGTCCGCCTCGCAGCCCCAGCCCTGCTCGAACATGAAGCCGAGGTTGTTCATCGCCTACGACGGTGACGACGTCTCGTCGTGTTCCCACCCGACATCTCTCGAAAATCGTCGGCGGCCACAGGACGCCGTTCATCGCCGGCGCGACGTGCCGCCCCTCGGGCCGCGACGCGATGAGGTCCTTGAGGCGCTGCACGGACACGGACAGCGGCACGAAGAGGCTCGCGCGGCACGCGGGGCACCGCTGGAGCTTCTGCTCCAGGAGCGGGCGGCAGGCGCTGCAGAAGGTCGTGCCGCACTTGTAGCACATGCCGACCTCGCGGCCGGGCGCCGCGTGGTCGTCCGGGTTGTCGAGGCAGATGAGGCACCGCGTCGACGCGTCGTCCGGCTCGGGCGCGGCGGGCCGCCGCGGCGGGCCCGACGACGGCGAGATGATGAGCGGGAAGACGCCCCGGTGCCGCCGCTTCGACAGCGACGACGGCAGGGGCGACCGCCGCGGCGACCGCGGCGGCCGCGGCGCGACGTGGACGACGGCGGGCTGGAGCTTCGACGGGGGGGCCGGGACGACGCCCGTGAGGCCGTCGTCGGCGTCGTCGACGGCGCCCATGCCGCGTCGCTCCGACGACGGCGCGGCAAGGTTCCGGACGAGCTGCGGGCGCGGCGATGCGACGACGACGCGGCGCCTCGCTACAGCGGCGATGCCATCATCGATCAGAGCGCTAGGCGTCGTGGGCTGCGCCCCAACGTGGGAATCCGTTGCAACGGATGAGAGATCTTCACCTTGGAGTTTTTTTGCGAGGCTGCCCATTTCAAAGCTTCCGTCATCTCCCTCGGCGTCGCGCGGAGGCGGCGGCCGCCGGGTCCGGCATGCCGTCGTCGATGCCGGCGCGGTGGCGGTCGTACTCGTCGGAGGAGGAGTCCTGCGACGCCTGCGACGACCTCGAGGAGCTGGGCCCCGGCGCCGACGACGAACGCCGCGACCCGTCGCCGCGCGAGCTCGTATCGGCGCACATGGAGTGGCTCATCGCGGGCGCGGCGCCCGACGCGCCGCGGCGCGACTCCGGCGAGTTCGACGCCCACGTGCTCACGGCCGTCGGCGTCTTCGCGTGGCGCGTGGGCCGCGTCGGCGAGCGCCGCTACGGCCTCCGGCTCGCGGCCGGCCTCGCGCTCGGCGCGCGCGCGTCCTACGTCGTGCTCGACGCGCGGGAGTCCGAGCGGAAGCGCGTCTTCCACTGGCTCGGCCGCGACGCGCCGCGCGGCGCCGCGGCGGCGGCGGCGTACAAGGCCGTGGAGCTGAACCGTTATCTCGGGGGCGGCGGCGGCGGGCCGCGCGCCGCGCGCCGCGAGGTCGAGGGCTCCGAGTCGCCGGAGTTCGCCGAGGCGGCGGACGCGCTCGGCCGCGTCGTCACGGAGTCCGACGACGACGAGAGCGACGGCGGCGGCGCGGACGCGCCGCCGCCGCGGCTCCTGAGCGTCGAGGCGACGCGGACGGGCCCGCGCCTCGTCGACGTGGAGCCGCGCGCGCGGTCCCTGCGGTCGCGGGACGTGCTCCTCCTCGACGGCGGCGGCGCGACCTTGTACGCCTGGCGCGGGCGGCTCGCGCCCGTCCGCGCGCGCGCGGCGGCCTTCGAGGCCGCGCTCGTGTTGCGCCGCGAGTGCTCGGAGCGGCGGGGCCGCTGCGACGTCGTCGTCGTCGACGAGGGCGACGAGCCGCGGGCCTTCGCCGGCCTCCTCGCGGGCCGGGCGCCGGCGCTCCAAAAGGCCGCGCGGACGCTCGCGGACGGCGAGCCGCGCGCGGAGGAATTCGCGGGCCGCGCGGCCGCGGAGTTCTGCGACGCGCTCCTCGAGGAGCTCCTGGGCGCGGCGGCGGCGGCGGCGGCGGCGCGCTACTACCCGTCGCTCTACGACCACGGGCCGGAACCGCCGCCGCCGCCGAAGCGGTCCTGGTTTGGCTGGCTCGAGCGGAAGCCGCGCGCGCTAAGCGGCGACTTCGGGCATTTCGCGGACGACGCCGACGGCGAGCCGCCGAAGCTCTTCCGCGTCCGCTGGCTCCGCGGCGGGCTGGACGTCGTCGAGGCGCGCGGCGCGCCGAAGCGGCGGGACCTGCGGTCCGACGGCGCGGCCGTGCTCCTGTGCGGCGCGGCGGTCTACGCGTGGCGCGGCGGCGAGTCGGGCGCCGCGTGCCGCGCGGCCGCGAGCCGCCTCGCGAGGGAGCTCGCCGAGGACGGCGCCGTGCGCCTCCAGGACGGCGTCGCCGAGGGCCGCGAGCCCCTGCCCTTCCGGTCCCAGTTCGCGGACTGGTTCGCCGCCGAGCGGCGCCGGTGCGAGCGCGCGCGGCTCGCGGACTTCGAGCGCCTCGCGACGAACGGCAGCCTGCCGCGGACGTCGTCGCTGCGGCCGTCGGGGAGCCGCTGCGACATCTTCTCCGTCGTCGGCGGCGGCGACGGCGTCGGCGTCGAGGTCGAGACGTTCGAGCAGTTCCGCGAGCGGCGCCGCGAGAAGCGGAGGCGGCGCTTCGAGGACGTGCGGTCCATGCTCGCCCAGAGCTGGCGGGCCGACGAGGCGCCGCCGACGGCGCGCCGGGCGTCGCCGTCGGCGGACCGGGGCGTCGACTGGGCCGAGGCCGCGGACGCGTTCGCCGTCGACGACGCGGAGCACCACGTCGTCGTCTGGGAGATCGACGGCAGACGGCTCCGGCGCGTCGACGAGGACATGCACGGCCACTTCGACGCGGCCAAGTCCTACGCCGTCCTCTACGGCGCGGCCGTCGACGTCGAGGCCCACGACGCGCGCGCGGCCGCCGCGGCCGGCGGCGGCGACGGCGGCGACGGCGCCCGGCCGTCGTCCCTCGCGGCGCGCCTCTTCGCCGCCGACGGCGACGGCGAGAGCTCCGACGGCTCCTCGGAGTCGGCGAGCTCGTCGGACCTCGTCACGCGCCGGTCGCTGCGGCTCTCGCGGAGCTCGCTGCGGCGGACGCCGACGGGAGCGACGGCCGCGGGCTGCCGCTTCTTCCTCTTCTTCTGGCGCGGCGAGCGGGCGCCCGTGGAGGACCGCACGCGCTACCTCATGGAGCACCGGCCCTGGATCCTCGAGGACTGGCGGGAGGAGCTCGCGTGCGCGCCGCCGCCGCACGAGTCGCACGTCGACATGCGCGAGGAGCCCCGGGCCTTCCTCGACGTCGTCGCGCGGTCCATGGGCGGCTACGTGGTCCACATGGCCGGCGGCGCGGACCGCCCGGCCCACCTCTTCCAGGTGCGGGGCTACGGCGACGCGGGCGACGCGGTCGCATTCGAGGTCGAGCCGGCCGCGGCGTCGCTTTGCTCCGCGGACTGCTTCGTGCTCTGCAAGCGGCCCCGGGGGTCCAAGGCCGGCTTCTCCGTGGCGCTCTCCGGCGGCGCGACCTGGTCTTTACCGAAAGCCCAGTGGACCATGTGGGTCTGGGTCGGCGACGGGAGCCGCGACGAGGTCCGGGCGACGTCCGCGTCGCTCGGGCTGATGGTCATGGCCTACTTTGGCGTCGATTCCGACGCCACGAAGGTGAAGGTCATCGACGAGGCGCAGAGCGAAAACCACGCCGACTTCTGGAAGTGCCTCGCGGGGCGGCGGACCTACGCGGACCACCGCATCCACAAGTTCGGCGCCGCGCTGCCGCGCGCGTTCACGGAGGCCGTCTTCTTCGACGTCCGCGACGGCGGCGGCGTCGCGCGCGTCGCCGGCGACCAGCGCTCGCTCGGCCGGTCGACGGCGCTCGTCGTCGACGCGCGCTGCTACGTGTTCCTGTGGCTCGGCGCGGACGTGCGGAAGAAAGCCGCGCGGCGCGCGCCTGTGTGGAAATCAACCACTGGTTTGGGGGGTCCCCACCAAACTTCAGAACTCTCTATCTCGGTCAAATCGACGTCGATTCGGCTGATTTTTGGACGCATCGATTGCTCTCGTCGAGTTCTCCGAAGCACAGCAGAAAGCCTCGCGTCGAAACGGTCGCATACGCGCACATTGAAGTCGGGTTGAAGATTTGAGTTCCACGCAGGCGCGCGCGGCGCCTCGCGGCGCACTACGTCGCCGCGACGCGGGGCGACCCGCTGCCCATCAAGGTCCAGGCCCAGGGCGGCGAGGACCCCCACTTCAAGAGCCTGTTCCACGGCTGGGCCGACCGGCCCGCGGACGCGCACCGCGCGCTCGCCCTCGACCGGCGGCGGTCCGCGGCCCTCGAGCGCGACGACCGCGTCGGCCGCGTCGTCGACGACGACGACGACGACGACGAGTCCGACGACGACGGCGACGAGCCCCGGCGGCCGCCGGCGCGGAAGCGGCGGAACTCGTGCGGGTTTTAATCTTTGCGGGAGGCGTAAGTTGAACGACAACTTGCATTCAAATTCGTTGAATTGCCAAGGCGTCGGCATGACATTCTTCTCCTCCTCCTTCGCAGCCACCCTGATGACTGCGCCGGGCGCGCTGGACGACGCCATCGTCCTCAAACTCGCCGGCGTCTTCCTCCTCCTTGGAATCGCCTGCCTCGCGTCCGTGGGCCGCCGGCGGCCGGGGAAGGCCTGGGTCAAGGACGCGCCGTTCCTCGAGCTCATGCGCCACTACGGCCCGGGCACGATCTTGGACTACCACGCGCGCTACGGGCGCGAGTGCCACCCGCGGTGCTGGTCCCTGAAGATCCCGCTCGACCCGCGCATCATCGCGACGGTGAACGCGGACGTCGTGCGCCACGTGCTCGTCGACAAGTTCCCAAACTACGAGAAGGGGCCGCAGTGGCGCGCGGCGTTCGACGATTTATTGGGCACGGGCATCTTCAACGCCGACGGCCACCTCTGGCGCAAGCAGCGCAAGGTGTCGAGCCACGAGTTTTCGGTCAAGTCGATGCGCGACTTCATGTTCGACATCTTCGCGAATCACGCGCGCGAGATCGTGACGCTAGCCGGGGACTCGGCGGGCGCGGTGGACGCGCAGGAGCTCTTCGCGCAGTACACGCTCCAGAGCATCGGGCAGATCGGCTTCGGGGTGGACCTGGGCGCGCTGCGGGGGCCGGAGGGCGCGGCGGTCGCCGCGGACTTCGGCGACGCGTTCAACGCGGCGACGCAGCTGTCGGGCGACCGCTTCGTGGACCCGCTCTGGCGCCTGAAGCGCTTCCTCGGCGTCGGCTCGGAGCGGCGCCTCGCGGACGCCATCGCGCGCGTGCGCGCGTTCTCGCTGGGCGTCGTCGCGGACCGGCGGTCGGAGAAGGACGCGGATCTCAAGGCGAAGCGGGATCTCCTGAGCCGCTTCATGGCCCACCAGGACACGTCGAAGGAGTTCGCGTTCACGGACGAGGAGCTCCACTTCGCCGTCATCAACTTCGTTCTGGCGGGGCGCGACACGACGGCGAACCAGTTGACGTGGCTCTTGTACGAGTGCTGCCGCCGCCCGGAGGTCGTCGCGGCCATCCGCGCGGAGTCGGACGCGTTGGGCAACCGCGTCGACTACGAGGCGGTGGGGAAGAGGGTGTACTTGAAGGCCGCGCTAACCAGGGCAGCACAAGAGAGCGAAATTCCCAACTTCAAAGGCTCCGATCTCGGCCGTTTTCCACTCGTTTCGGCTGATTTTTGGACGAGCGATCATCTCTCGGAACGGTCTCGAAGCGTGGATGTGTTTTCCGGAACGCGCGCGCGCGGAACACTCACGTTGAAGCGACGTTGGATCACTCTTGTGCTGCCCAGGCGCTGACGGAGACGCTCCGACTGTACCCGTCGGTGCCGACGGATTTCAAGACGGCGCTGAAGGACGACGTCCTGCCCGACGGCACGGGCATCCTGCGGGGCGAGCGCGTCATGTTCGCGACCTGGGCCATGGGGAGGATGGAGGAGTACTGGGACGACCCCCTGGCCTTCGACCCGGGCCGCTTCCTCGAGGACGGGAAGTTCCTCTTCCCGGACGCGTGCAAGATGCCCGCGTTCCTCGCGGGGCCGCGGACCTGCCTCGGCAAGGACGTCGCCTACCTCGGCACCGCGGTGCTGGTGGCGTCGCTGTTGGACACGTTCGACGTGGCCTACGCGGGCGACGCCGACCCCGTCTACGACACGGGCCTGACCATGTGGGCCGCGGGGCCCGTGCCCATCGCCTTCACGCCGCGGCGGTAACTCATCTTATCACATATTCCGCCGGCGGGAAATGTTATGTTAGGACCTGATATTTGCCACCATGTCCGCGGCGAGGTCCTCGACGGGCCGGAGGCAGTCGAGGACGACGAGGCGTTTGGGGTCGACGGACGAGGCGCGGTCGAGGCCGTGGGCCTTCCAGCGCTTCGCGACGTAGTCGGACCAGTAGGCCGCGTAGGCCGCCTCGGAGACGCCGCGGTCCTCGTAGGACGGCTTCCCGAGGTGGCCGCGCCGCGTGTACTTGCGCCTCCACAGGACCTCCTGCGCGGCGGCGTCGCCGTGGCGGTCGTCGAGGAGCACGACGGCGCCGCAGCGGTCCCGGAGCCGCTCCGCGGCGCCCTCGCCGAGGAGCAGCAGGCCCTCGACGAGCACGTAGCCGCCCGCGCCGCCCCGGAGGCGCGCGTCGACGACGGCGTCGACGGCGCCGTCGAGCGCGTCCTCCGCGGCCTTCCAGTCGACGGCGTCCGGGTGGTTCAGGTCCGCGTTGCCGCGCGCGAGGAACGCGTCCGGCACGTTCCCGCCGGGCCAGGCGATGTCGCCAGCGAGGTCGAAGGTCGGGCAGTCTTTGAGAGGCTTGTAGAAGTCGTCCAGACACACCGTCGCCGCGGGCTCGTCCGCGAGCGCGGCCGTGAGCGTGCTTTTACCGGCCGCGCTGCAGCCGACCAAGCCGACGACCGCCACGTCGAAGGCGTCCGGCCGCTCGAGCGCCGCGACGAAGCGGTCGATGCCCGCCTCGCGGCTGCCCTCGTTGCGCACGCGCGCGACGGCGAAGCCCTTGGCCTCGGGCGGCGCGTACGCGGCCGCGCGCTTGATGCGCTCCTCCACGGCCGCCTCGTCCTCCCTCCCTCGTCCCTCCAGCCGCGCGCGGAGCGCCGCCGCCGACGCCGTGACGAGGACGACGACCGCGTCCGCCTTCGACGCGTATGTGTCGCGCGCCGCCGCGAACGCGGACCGCGAGACGTTCAACACGACGGAGCTCCCGCGGTCGAGCGCCGCGTCGACGGCGGCGCCGGGCACGCCGTAGGCCGTGTCGCCGTGGGCGCGCCAGGTTAACGCGTACGCCGCCTCGCGCGCCGCGAACTCGTCGCGCGTCGCGCTCCGCTCGAGCGCCGTGCACCGCTCCGGCGACCGCGTGACGTCGCGCGGCGCGAAGGCGACGGCGTCGGATTTTTTTAAAGCGTCGCGCGCGCCCAGAAGCAGCGTGTCCTTGCCCGCGCCGGACGGCCCGCCGACGAGGAAGATCTTCGGTCTCTCCTGCGGCGCGGCGAGCGCGACGCCGCCGCCGGCCGCCAGGCCCGCCGCCGGCAACCGCAGCGCGCCGGCGAGGGAGCGGAACATCGGCAGGGCGAGCCAAGGGTTTCGCAGACGCATGCAACGCTGCAAAGCGGACTGTTAGTTTGTGTGAGGAGCGCGGCTCGAGATGGCTGCAACGCTGCAAAGCGGATCTTGGTTGGTGTGAGGAGCGCGGCTCGAGATGGCTGCCATAATCGCTGAGCGCTGAGGTAAATCGATGTTGTTGAATGTGCACCCAGGGGGAAACGTCGGCGTTTCATCAAGGGGTCAAGCATGGCGGAGATCGAGGGGCTGGTCCGCGCCTTGCGCGAGGGCGACGATGATGCGAAGGCGGCGGCGGCGGCGGCGCTGAGCGAGCTGGTGCGCGACTGCGACGCCGGAACGCGCGGCAAACGGGTCCGGATCCGCGAGGCCGGCGGCATCCCGCCGCTCGTCCAGCTCGTGCGCGACGGGAGCGCGGAGGCCAAAACCCAGGCCGCAGCGGCGCTGGCCAACCTCACGCTCACCTACACCGAGGCCACCAACCGGCGACTGGTCGGTGCAGCTGGCGCGACCTCGCCGCTCATCGACCTCCTGCGCGACGGTAGCGCGGAGGCCAAATTATGGGCCGCGAGCGCGCTGCGCAACTTGGCGTGCGAAAACGACAACAAGATGCTGATCACCGAGGCCGGCGGTGTCCCGCTATTCGTCCAGCTCCTGCGCGACGGGTGCGCTAAGGGCAAACTCAAGGCCAGCGCGGCACTGAGCAGCCTCGCGCTCAACAACGACGCCGGCGCGGTCGCGGTCGCGGTGGCCGTCGGCCTCGAGGCGCTCGTCGAGCTCGCGCGGCACGGCCGCGTGATTGTCAACGAGGGGTGGCTCGTGTGGAGTGCGGACGTCCCCGCCAAGCGCAAGGCCGCGCTGGTCGTCGCCGCCCTGCTCGACCGCGACGGCCGCCGGCTCCCGCGCGAGATCAAGGCCCTCATCGGGCCCTATCTCTAGGACGCATCGCTAGTAAAAGCGAGAGATCGAGATGAACGACTGCCACTAATACCCGAGCTTATCGTTGAGCGCCGTGCGGCCCGAGCCGTCCTGGCCCTGGGGCGGCACCCAGGCCGCGTCGCCGCCCTCGAGCGACGCCGCCGCCGCCGCGTCCGCGTAGCCGGCCGGGGGGCGCTTCGGCCCGCGCGGCGCGCGCTTGCGCTTCTTCTTCGCGGGCCGGTCGTCGTCCTTGGCCTCGGTCTCAAAGTCCGGCGGCGGCGACGGCGGCCGCCGCGGGAGCGTCGGCGCCATGGGCGCCGCGGCGCGCTCCCGGGGCGCGTCCGCGCGCGGCGTCGGCAGTAGCGCGCGCGCGGCGCTCACCGCGGGCGCCGGCGCCTCGGCGGCGGCCTCCTCGGCCTCCTCGGCCTCCTCCTCCTCGGCGGCGGGCGCCGGCGCGACGGCCCCGGGCGTCCGCGCGGCCGAGAGGCCGTCGAGCGCGGGCCGCGCGACGTCCATGAGCCGCGAGAGCCGCGCGCGCTCGGCCTCGAGCGCGGCGGCGTCGCGGCGCGCCGACGCGCGGCGCGCCGCGGCCGCCTCGGCGTCGTTCGTCGCCATGAACGCGTCGAGGTCGTCGCCCGGGGCGCGCGCGGTCGCGCGCGCGGCGCCGGCCTCGGCGTCGCGCGCGGCGGCGAGCGCGGCGTCGACGGCGTCGCGCTTCGCG